GATAGATAGATAGATAGATAGATAGATAGATAGATAGATAGATAGATAGATAGATAGATAGATAGATAGATATTAATTCTCCTTAACTACTATCTTTGGATTTAATGACTTCTTTCATTGATCCTTGTTTCTTTCCTCCATCCACTTATACCATTTATCCCATATCTGATAATATTCTGTTTCTTCTTTTCCCTGGATTTCTTTTGTTAATTTGTCCATTTCTTCTTGTTTAAACGGTGGCTTCTTTAAATGGTGTCGCAAACTAGAGGGTTTAAATGGTGGCTTTGTTGAAAATGGTCTCGCAAACTAGATAACAGACTCAGCCTCTTTGTTTTTTTATCTCTTTCACAGGAGCTGCCCAAGTTGCAAACGGTAAGAGTCATTTCCCTTCCCTGTTTGTAAATAGTTGCCTCGCCTGTAAGTGACACAGAGAGAGAAAACAGGGAAGTGCCAGAAAAATAAATGTGTCTTAGGAACAGCCTTTGGGAGTCTGGTTGCCATGCATAGGTTTTGAACTGCAAGTCCCCTCCAACTCTTTGTTGGAGTATTTATGCTGCCTGGAAGATTGTGGGAGTTTATTTATCAGATATATATATATATATTCCCATGGAGAAAAATCTAAGTGGTCACTAGAAGTCAAACCTGACTTGATGGCGTGTAATAAATCAATCTGATTTATATCATATGGTTGTTTCACCAGCTGGAGATGGCACTGGCTGCTCCCCTGTTTGACCCCAAAGAGCAAATTGTGTGAAGTGGGTTGGGGGAAAGAGAGAGTGACTGGTTGCAAATCCTTGTCTAGCATTTTGCCACACTAGATCTGGAATTAAAATCCAGTCATATCCGTAAGGCATTACATTGGATAAAGATGATTTAGACAAGGCAGCTTGTCCTCTGATATACAAATAGGCAAACCGTTGCTGTTTAAGATTTTAGTGCCGCACCAATTGTTTCTCCACACTGCTTCCCTGCGGGAGAACTACTAACATTGGTAATTAATATGCTCCGTAGGTATATATTTCTTAAGTGCATGTTCCATTCTCAGGTAGATTTCTCTCTAGCAGGAATGGCGAAACTTGTAGGCTTAGCGTGTCAAAAATTTGGAAAATGCCCATCTTGACTCTGCTGGCGTCTCATATGCACACACATGCACAGAGAGGGAGGGAGGGAGGGAGGAAGGGAGGGAGGGAGGAAGACAGAGAGAGGGAGGGAGAAAGACAGAGAGACAGAAAGAGACAGAGAGAGGGAGAGACAGAGAGGGACACACAAACATAGAGAGAGGGACAGAGAGAGACAGAGGGAGAGACAGAGAGAGNTCCTTCTTCTGGCCCTTTTCTAGCTACAGCTGCCCAGATCATCTTTTCAAAACCACCATTTGCCATATCTCTGAAGGGTTGATAGCTTCTCTAAAGCCTGTGGTCTTACAGGACACTTTACCAAACAGTTTGAGAGGGGAAAATATCTCTGGAAAATGTTGGGGGTGTCACAACTAGGGAAATGCACTATGAGGATAGGAGTACAAAACGATTCCTTGAGTCTCTGTTCAGCTCTCAGTTACAGGCTTTGTAATTCCTGTTCCATCATGTCCAAAATGTACAAGCCTTTCTATCAGTTGCAAAGAATCTGATCTGGGGGGAGGGAAGGAGAGCAGGGCCGGCACACAAGTTGTGCCCTCTGCATGATATAATAGCCTTGTGATACATCCCTCAGAGGACATGCATTATGGCTTAATGTGTACAACGGTAGAGCTACAATGTGCCACAAAGATAAATCCTCTTTCCCTACTCTTCTTTTATTTTAAAATGTTTAAAAGACAGTGTTTTTCTCCTACTCCTTCTCTTCTAAATCACGAGAGAACTGGAGTGGGGGAGAGAAATACATTGGGAGATGGATTCCCCCCTCCAACTCTACCCAACATCTTTGGGCTTGAAAATATCACCAATAGTTGGGCACACACTCACAAAATACCAGATTAAGCAATAATGCCTCTATTCATATCCCTGGCATAAAGGTGGCATAATTTTAATCTCAGTTGTGTTTTTTGTGGCCTGGTGCGTTGTCAACTCACTAGGCTCCATATATAACTCAACCCCTTGCGCAATCTCAGAAAATCTATTGATTTAGTAACACAGTTAATTACGCCGAGGGAAACTAACAAGAGCAACCAGCTCCGTTCAACACAACACAATCGCCTCTCGACATCTGCCAGGAGGGGCTTCCTTTTTCCCCTTCTTGGAAAAGGTTGGGAAAAAATTAAAGGCTTATTTTTCACAAATGTGGAATCTTCGTTGATTTTGGCAGATTAAAGCAATCCAAGGGAACTAGAAGGGAAGTGATTGTTTTTGTCTCTCTGATGGCTTTACCAACCTAAAATTCCCCCTGTAGATGCAAACTCTCTATCAGAGTCCCTTTCTGGATAATCTATGGCGGCAAAATAAAATTAAAATTAAAAAAAAAATAGGTGGCAGAATCTTTTCTTGAGTACTAAATGCTTCCATGAGCTGCAGCTCACAGCATCCAAGTGGCTGGGTTGATGTGGGATTCCGTTGGGGTGAAGTGGGAGCCACGGCTAAACGCACACAAATCGAAAAGTGTCAGGCACTCTCCGACGGCCTCCAACCCTGTGAGGTTTTTAGCACATTACATCTGTTCATTGATTATTTGCTTGTAATGTGTCTCATGTGTAACTTGAGTCTGCTTAACCATCCCCCTCTCCCTTTCCTTTCTCCCACCTTCCCCACTGAAATCCTACATTGGTCTAACTCGGCGTTAGAACTACTCATTCTATCAAAGTCATCCCTGGAAGGAAGGAATTTCTTCTTGTTTATTTATTTATTTTTAACATTTTTAAACAATATTTTTATTTGTTTACAAACATACAAAATACACACACCACAAAACTTAGACGTACACTACATTTGCACAATACAGTACGAACAGGAACTTCCTGTTCTTTCTAATGGCAATGACCAATCAATACAATTTTCCTTATGTTATTTCCCCTTCTAGTATGTTTCATTTGCATTTCACCATTTTTAACCCTCTTATTTTACTCATCTATCTGCTATATTGGGTGATTACCTCTAGTACATTTAAACTCTCTTGGGTGCATAGATAGATAGATAGATAGATAGATAGATAGATAGATAGATAGATAGATAGATNAAAAGACGGAATTGATGATTTATCGATTTGAGAATTAAAAAGAGTTAAAAGGGGGAATTATAAAATAAGAAGAGGAAGAAGTAAAAGCCCAGAGGGACTTTACAGCTTGGGATGAACGACATATAAATGTAATTGATTAATTAATAAATGAAAAGAGGGAGGGAGGGGGAAGATGGTAACCACTCAATGGAAAGAAGGGCAAAAATCCTATATCTATATTTACTTTTTCTTATTTTTCCTTTGATTCTTTGTACTTGCATTGTATTTAGGTAAAAGGTAAAGATTCCCCTCGCACATATGTGCTAGTCATTCCCAACTCTAGGGGGTGCTGCTCATCTCCGTTTCAAAGCCAAAGAGCCAGCGCTGTCCAAAGACGTCTCCGTGGTCATGTGGCCGGCATGACTAAACGCCGAAGGCGCACGGAGCACTGTTAACGATCAGAAAGGTTGGCAGTTTGGCGGTTTGAATCCCTAGTGCCATGTAACTGAGTGAGCTCCCGTTACTTGTCCCAGCTTCTGCATTGTATTTAAACATTCTAATAAATAAATGCAGAGAATGTTTGTCTTAACACTGACATATATTGTCCCACGTGTGAATTTTTCCATGAATTTGGTCTAAGGCACAGAGCTTTTGCAAAGATCTTTCCCTGATTTCATGTTTTAGGGTATATTAATTTTAGGCATATGCAGCTTTTTTTTCCAGAACTTTTCAATATTATCGCCAACATTATCATCAAGCTGCACTACAAAGTTTAGATGCCTACGACACCAAGTTTCAAATAATGAATAAATACATTTGGTTGGGGATTGATTGAAAGCTGCAAAATAAGTTTCTCGATGGGAATCATTCTTTTTTCCACCACATTCATAGTTTGCAGACCCGTCCTTTAGACGCACTGAGAAGACATTTTCATATAAAAAGGGAATATGCATTTGCAACACTAGCTCTTACCTTGTTGCCTGAGAAGGTTCTTTTATTTGCTTGTTGTCTTGATGTTCTCGATTTGTCTAGGAACAACAAAAATGGGCAGAAGCTTCAATAAGTTATTTCTTGAGGTGTTTTCCTGCTGCCTACCTTCCAACCCACTGTTAAAATACTTGCCTTCTTAATACCTCTCATAGCCCTTCCTTCCTTCCTTCCTTCCTTCCTTCCTTCCTTCCTTCCTTCNAGAATAGAATAGAATAGAATAGAATAGAATAGAATAGAATAGAATAGAATAGAATTCTTTATTAGCCAAATGTGATTGGACACACAAGGAATTTGTCTCTGGTGCATAAGCTCTCAGTGTACATAAAAGAAAAGATCCATTCACCACAAATCATAAGGTACTACACTTAATGATAGTTATAGGGTACAAATAAGCAATCAGGAAACAATCAATATAATCTGGGGAAAATGGGGAACCACCTCATATTGGCTTGATAAAAATCTATGAGTGCATTTGAATTATCTTCTCCCAGGTCCCTTTCCAGGTTATCACAGCACTTAAGAGGAAAAATGCCATCTGGGGCAGCGGTCAATAACTGGCTATCCGTCGACCATTGTTGGTCCGTGAGAAAATTTTATGGTCTACAGAAACAATATTTGCATTTCTTATATTGCACTAAATACTATTTATCTTTTTAAAAAAAATCATATTAGTGGTCTTAGTGGGATTTAAAATTATGACTTTAATGGTCCCGGAAGTCCAAAAGGTTGGTGACCCCTGATCTGGGGCATTTGAAAGCAACGGGTTCCCCACTCTGAGACCAGTTTGTCTAGCTCATGAATCTCCTCGAAGATTGAGCAAGGAAGTAAGAAAATCAGGGACTTCCCCAAGTTGAGAAGACAGCTCAAACATCCAGACTGTGGCTATTTTGGAAATAGCAGAAGTGCATGCTGGGATTGGGATGTATGAAATAAAGCCGCCTTGCTTCATATTTCGGAAGATAAGAGGCTTCTTGTAATGCTATCCACCTCCAAAGGATGAAGGTTAACAATGAGCAAACTGCAAACATGTCAGTATGTCATTGCAACTTTGAGAATGCCTTAACTTGTCTCTGTTGGGTTTTATGAATATTGGTTTGGCTCTGCAACCAAACAAGACAGACACAGACTTCAACGGATAATTAGAACTGCAGAAAAAACAATGGCTACCAAACCTGCCTTCCATCAAAGACCTGTACATTGCATGAGTCAAAAAGTGGGCCATGAAAATATCTACAGACCCTTCAGATCCTGGGCATAAATTATTTCAACTCCTACCCTCAAAATGACACTATAAGGCACTGAACACCAGAACAACTAGATGCAAGGACAGTTTTTCCCAAATGCCATCACTCTGCTTAACAACTAATACTCAGAACACGCTCAATAATTTACCAAGAATGTATTATTATACAATTGTATCACAGTGGCCAGTTGTTTCACCGGATTAGGCATTGATTAGTAGTCGGGCCCCACCCAGAGGCCTAGGATGTCGTAATGTATTTTAATTTTGTCAATTTTTAACTGTTTTAAATGTAATTCCAGTGCTTTTGGAATAGCACCCAGTGTGCCAATTACCACTGGAATTACCACTGCTGGTTTGTGCCATAATCGTTGAATTATTATTATTATTATTATTCAATTGTATCG